AATGAATCTATGCATTGTGTGTCATGTCAATCTGCAAAGCAACTAGCTTTATCTTTTTCAAGTAGTCATTCTCATTCTACTGCTCCTTTTGATCTTGTGCATTCTGATGTTTGGGGTCCATCTCCTACACCCACCATGGGGGGTTCCAGGTACTTCGTGTTATTTATTGATGATCATACTCATTTTACCTTGATATACCTTATGAAAAGTCGCTCTGAATTATCACAAATTTATATTGATTTTGCTACCATGGTCAAAACCCAGTTCTCTAAAATTATCAAAGTTTTGAGAACTGACAGTGCTAGTGAATATCTTGGTACTAAACTTCAATCTTTTTTGAAAGAACAGGGTACACTGCCACAACAATCTTGTCCTTATACTTCTAAACAAAATGGGCGAGCCGAACGCAAACACAGACACATCCTTGATTCTGCTCGTGCTCTACTCATTTCATCCTCTTGTCCAGAGCGATTTTGGGGTGCAGCTGCTTATCTTATTAATCGCATTCCATCATCAGTCCTTAATAACCAGTCTCCATATGAGCGTCTACATGGTATTCTTCCTGCTTATAATCTTCTTAAGGTTTTTGGTTGTGCATGTTTTGTTCTTCTTCCACCTGATGAACATAACAAGTTAGAACCTAGAGCTCGATTATGCTGTTTTTTGGGTTATGGGATTACACAAAAAGGATATCGTTGTTGGGATCCTGTGTCACAAAAACTCTGAGTTTCATGTCATGTTGTCTTTTGGGAACACACTATGTTCTCATCATTGTCAAACTTCAAAGTGTCATCCTCTCATCAACCTCCATTTTTTACTAATCCTTCTATTGAGCTATTTCCTAGTGAATCTAATGCAGGTACATCTGATGAGCTCTACAATGCCTCACCACATGCTCCAACCAGTTCTGTAGAAGATGATCTGCTTGCTGGTAATGCATTAGATAATTTTGAGCCTTCTTCTACCTCCTCGTCTACAAATGAGCTTGTTGTCCCATTCTTGAGTCATCCTACTCAGGTAAGAAAGCCTCCAAACTACCTTCGTGATTATCATTGTTTTCCTGCTATTACTTCGTTCCATGAGCCTCAATCCTATCAAGAGGCCTCTTCTAACCCTCTTTGGCAACAAGCTATGCAAGATGAATTACAAGCTCTTGAGAACACTCGTACATGGGATTTAGTTGATCTCCCTGCTGAAAAATCTCTAATAGGCTGTAAATGGGTGTACAAGATTAAAACTCAATCTGATGGTTCTGTGGAGCGTTATAAGGCACGCTTGGTTGCCAAGGGTTTTACACAGGAGTATGGAATCGACTATGAAGAGACATTTGCTCCAGTTGCTCGTCTTACATCTGTGC